CAGGGCAGGAGACGGCCGAGCGCGCCCGCCGCCGCCTCGCGCCTCCCGGGGAAGACCTGCGGCCGGACCCCCGGCTCCTTCCCCTGCGGCCGGACCCCCAGCTCCCTACCCTGGCGTTCCACCCTAGAATCTAGGGTGTCCCAAAAAGGGCTGTGCTCCGGCTCGGAGGGAGAGGGCAGTGGAGGCCTCGGGGGCCTAGGGCTGGGGCCGCCAGGCTGGGCAGGTGACCAGGGCCCCGTGGGCAGACGTGGGCAGCTGCCCCTGGAACCCGGCACTGGTCCTCCTTCCAGTCGCTCTGCTGCTTTGGGGCTCCGCGAATTACTTGGGGGTCGGAAAGAGGTTACCCCTAAAAGTACCCACATCTCAGATTTTCAGGGGTGCATCACTGCAACTATGTTACAGGAGAAAATTCAACCCCGAAAGAGATAAATGTTAACCCGGAACGGTTCTGGGGTCATTAACTTACAGATACAAATTGGATTCCCATTCCACAGGATCGGAAATGGGATATGTGGAAAAGAGGAAAAGATGGTACTTTATTTGGGCAGGAATCTGCCCTGGAACCTAATGTATTCGGGTAGAACTTGACCTGTTTTTTGTTTGTTTTTTTGATTTTAGGTACTAAACAGAAAAGTACCTTGAAACAGGAAGATGCTTCTAAAAGGTATGATAACTACCAGTATTTGGACAGCTGTATTCATTTGACTGTTTACCTCCTATTAATTGAACCACTTTTAAAAACAGTAATGGGTGATACCTTAAAAGAAAATTATTATGAGATGGGGATACCTGGGAAGCATTATAAATTCTCACTTCGACTGTTACAACCCCCTGCTCCATGCTTTCAGAAAACCAGCATCAGACACTTTAGATTTCTAATGAAGGTATGAGAGTCTGTAGAAAAGTGCATATTTTCAGCAAAATGTTGTCCTGTGCTGTCTCTTGGATTTATCTCTTTGTCACAAAAGTTTTCTAGAATAGGAATAGTCTGTGAGGATGAACTTAAAAAAATACGTTTCTGTGGTATTTTATGAAGTGTTGGCTTTGGCCTTAATTTACTAATTTTTTTTTTCAAATTTACTTAGTGTAAGATATGCCAGACCTGTTAGGCCCTGGGGATATAATTTTGAATAGAATAGACACAGTTCCTACCTAGTGGAACAGAGACACCCCAATTAAATTATCACAAATAAATACATAATTACAAATTGTGATAAGCGCTATAAAGGAGTCGGAACTCATAACCAGAATCTAATTTAGCTGGAGGTTGGCTGGGAAGGTCGCGGTTTTTCAGGGGCGGGTTTCTCAGAAAGTAATAATTAACCTGAGTCCTGAAGGCTAAGTAGGCATTCACCAGACAGAGTAGTGAGGGGAGAGACCGCCAACCAGAGATGCAGTGTGTGTGACAGGAAAAGGTTTGGTCACCTAAAGGAAGGAGAGATGTCCAGGGTGGTGTGCAGCATTCTGAGCAAGGCAAGAATGGAGCACAGGAAAAGGTTAGAAAGGCAGGATTCCATTCATACAGTACCTGGTAGGCTGTGAGAGCAATTTAGATTTTCTGCGTGCAAATGGGAAAACTTGAATAAAGTGATGAAATTTAAGTTTTAATATGTTGGGGATGGTAATCATCTGGAATGGAGAAATTGGATGGATTTGAGATCTGCTTTGGTGAGTACAGGCATATCTCAGAGATAATGCAGGTTCAGTTAGTTCCAGACCACCGCAATAAAGCAAGTCATAATCCTTTTTGCTAGTGGAGATCTTGCCTTCAATTTGTAGAAAATGCAACATCTGTCAAGTGCAATAAAGTGAAGTGCCATAAAACGAGGGATGCGTGCATTTCCCCGTAGGGTAGCATGATTATACTGTCTTCGTTTTAAGAAATATTGCAACTGTCTTCAACACTGATCTGACCACAAACCTAAGGAGATTGTCTTATTTTGAGCACTATAAATTGCAGAATATAGACAAGCTGAAATATATTTTGAGCAGACCATTCAAGATGATGAAACAATTAAAAAGCCATGGGGATAACCAAATAGTTGTTGAGGGGAGTGATCTTTCATAAATTTATTCCAACTACAAAATACTTCCACGTTCGATCCAGGTGAATACTTTTAAGCCAGAAGGTAAAGTTTTCAAAAATATAAAACAATTCCACTATTCACACTAAATTTTTTATTTAAAAACTAGAGGCCTGATGCATAAAATTCATGTACTGGGGGTGGGGTGGGGCCCCCTTAGCCCAGCCTGTGCCCTCTTGCAGCCCGGGATGCCTTGGGGGATGTCTGACTGCTAGCTTATGCCCAATCCCCATCAGGACTAAGCCGGCAGTCAGACATCCCTCTCGCAGTCTGGGGCTCTCGCAGTCCAGGACCCCTCTCTCCTTACCGCACACCTGCAGTGGAGGCAGGAGAGACTGCCGCCACCGCTGTGCTCGCCAGCCGTGGGTCCAGCTTCTGGCTGAGCAGTGCTCCCCCTGCAGGAGCGCACTAACCACCAGGGGGCAGCTCCAGCATTGAGCATCTGCTTCCTGTTGGTCAGTGCACATCGTAGCGACCAGTTGTTCCACCATTTGGTTGATTTGCGTATTAGGGTTTTATTATATAGGATATATTAACATGGCCTGGCCAGCGTGGCACAGTGGTTGAGTGTCAACTTTTGAACTTGGGAGGTCATGGTTCAATTCCTTGTCGAGGCACATGCCTGGTTGCAGGCTCCATCCCCAGTGTGGGGCATGGAGGAGGCAGCCAATCAATGATTCTCTCTCATGATTGATGTTTCCATCTCTCTCTCCCTCTCCCTTCCTCTCTGAAATAAATAAAAATATTTAAATATATATTAACATGTAACAGGTATATTATTAAATAATAAAAGTAATATGCAAATTAACCATCACTCCCTCACTCCCTCACTCCCTCATAAAGATGGTGGCGGCCACAGAGCTGGAGCGAGCAGGAGGCTTGGGTTGCCCCCGGCGATGGAGGAAGCCAAACTTTCTGCCTGCCCTGGCCGGCACTGGGCTCCACTCAAGGCTACAGAGTTTCAATTATAGAAGATAAATAAATCCCAGATACCTGCTTCCAGCTGGAGTGGCCTCTGCTCAAGGAGGGGCTG